AATAAGAACCAAGATGCATTATGTAAAGGTACAATTCCCAATGAGAAATGTAATTGTGTTGTATACCTACAATGTACCAATAAAAGAATTTAATTTAAAAAAAAACAAATGCGTAAAAATTGATTAACCTTCGTGGTCAAAGTGTCACTGGACTGGGTCTGAGGAGGTTCTTGCAGCTGTGATAAGGAACCTAACCCACCCTAAACATAGAAAGTTTGGAGGTTTGCGGACTCCCATCAAAGAATTTTCAAGACTAATCAGTCTTACTAGTCAGTAAGAAGTATGGGAAAGGTTTTATTAGGCGGAAATTAAAAGATACATGCTCAAAGAAAAAGAGTGTGGGTTCTCAGGAGAGAGAAACACACTACAGTGTAGAGCTGGGAATATTTATGTAGTCTTGGGAATGTCTTTTTAACTGGATTTTGGGGTGCTGGAATCTCCTTCTAGAGGAGGTTTCTAGGTTCTTTCTGTCCTGAGCATAGAATTGGTCAAGTATAAAAGGTAGCAAGGTTTTACATTTATTAAAGGTTAAAAAAAAAAAGAAAAATATGCTCTGCAGAGTGAGTGTGGAACAGTTAAAAGTAGGAAAAGTGGATTCTGCAAGGTGAAAGCTGACCATTGTGAAGAGAGCATAGTGGCCCGGAGCTCAGTGGCAGCCACCTTTTAATCTCCCACTAAGGGTGATGTGAGGTCTAGGCCTTCCATCAAAAGCCTGCTGGAGTTCTCAGAATTAAAGAGAGCACATTCAGATTGGGTCCACTTACAGGGCTTTGAGAATTGTTCTGGGCATGTGTTCTGGAACTTTGTAATTAACAGTTCACCCCCCTACTTCTGCAGCCAGTTTGTGCACCCTAATCTCCTGCCTCATCTTCAAGATGGGGGTCTAGGATGTATATTCCCATTGTTTGTCAACATATCCAGGGCAGGCTGTGTCAGAACACAAACTACCTATGTGTGTTTGAAGTTGAGATGTTTCCCACTAATAATATTGCTTCTTCCTTGAGGATAGAAGAAGTGCAATTTACTGGTAAAAAGATCAGGTTCAGAGCCCTGTGTCTTAAAAATCTTTAGGATTTATTTTATTTTTTTTTGGAATGAATTTCCTAGAAGGGAAAAAGGATTGAGTAACTTCTGTGTCCTGAAGCTGCAGTTTTTCTTAAAAGTACAATTTTAGGGCCAGGGATTTAGCTCAGTGGTTCCAGTGCCTGCCTCACAAATGCAAGGTCCCAAGTTCGATCCCTGGTACCAAGTACAATTTAAAATATTCCAATTTCCTTGTCTCCTCCCTCCCCACCTTTTAAAGTATCTTCTATCCTACCTCACTTCCTTTGGGAGTATACATCTAGTAATGTCAGGATTACCAGCTGTGTGACCATGGACAAATGACTTATTTTCTGTGTATGCTTCAGTTTCATTTAGGTAAACCGGGAATAACATAAGCATGTATCTGGAAGAGTGCGTATAAGGATTAAGTGAATTAATTTCTACAAAGAAGTAGAGGGCCTGCCAATCACCAGCAGTCAAAAATGGGATTACACTGGGGACTCCTACTTAACAGCTCTAGAAATGTAAATTCAGAACTGCATTCACACATGATTTGCTGCGGATAGAACCCAACTGTTCAAAATCCCTGCTAACTCTAGTTCATTAAGTTCCACTAGAAATGGTAAATGTTTGATGTGTAACTTTAAGATTTCTGCTAATTATTACAAATTAAACAAGAATTGTGAGGCTGAGTCAGGCAGAAAACTCCATTTGTAAAAGAAGAAAAATTGAGCCAAATATATATGTATATCACAAAGTAGTTATTGATCTTACTCATCATTAAATTTGTGAAAAGTTGAAGTGTTATGATTGCTATTTCCCAGGAATGAATTTCAAGTTTATACAGACTAAATGAATACAACTCCACAGCACTAGCATAATTTCATTTTCCAGAGTTTATGTACAAAAAAGAAGTCTGAAAATTACTTCAGTACTGTTTCTCAGCACATTTACTAAATACATTTAAAGAGCAGGCGTCACTTTGAAGCAAATGCACCACGTTTGCCATGATGGCGAGCTGGTTTTCCTTCAGTGGAGGCTTGGGGCGCACAGGACCCCAGCTGTGGTGGGTGAAGGGAGGGGAAGAGGACAGCGCCTGCTCTCGCTCGGGGTCAGTTTCTGCGCCTTGGGTTCTGAAGCAGGGTCGGACCACGCAGGAGTGTGGTGTTTTCCTGCTGTGCCCGAGTCAGGGTGCTGGCTTCTCCCGCGTCCCCCTCCTTGGTACGCCCTTCAGCGGCAGTGGGTTTGGAAAGGCGGTGCAGGGCGGAGGCCTCTGCATTCAGTCCCGCGGGCCCAGAAGGCCGCGCCCACTGGGGCGCTCCGGGCTCCATCCTCAGGGTCGACGCTGAGGGGACGCCAGGGCTCGGCGCAGGCGCCCGCAGCTGACCCGCGTCTATTTTTGTGCCTACACCAAAGTCACCCTCTAATCCCCCGCGGGGGTCCTGAGAGGGGTCGCGCACTTGCGGGCGGCCGCGCGTTGGGCGGGGCTGGCGGGGGCGCGGGGCGGGGCTGCGGCGCGTGCGTCACGGAGCAAGCGCTGGGTTGCGGCCCATCTGGACCGAGAGGCGCGGCTAGGCCGGCGGGGTCGCCCGCGAGCAGCCGCCGGCGCCTCCATTCATTCGCACGGCCCCGCCTCCCGCCGGCTGCAGCGGTTCGCGCGCTGCGTCGGAGGTGAGAGGCCTGGGCCGAGTCCGCCGCGCCCCCCGCCCGACTCGGGCCTGCGCAGGCCAGGTGCGCGGCGCCTCCATCTTGGGAGGGAGCCCGCCCGCCCCCTCCCGCAGACCCCGCGTCGCAGCTGCCGCCCCCGCCCAGCCGCAGCCCGCGCGTTCGCCGACCCGCAGGGCCCGTTCTCCGCTGCCCTGACGCCTCGCGTGCCTTTAGCCACGTGGGAACAGGTAGAGTACTCCCGCCCCACCCCCTCTTCGGGTCTTTGCAATTCTGTCCCGATTCGTTCTCTGCCGCCGGCGGCCTGCACCTCCGCAGAAGGAAGGAGGATGAAGTCCCGAGCCCCCGGGTGGTGTGCGGCTCGGGTGTGGATCCCATTTTCCCCGGTATTCCTTGGATAGGAATGGTGAAGCGTCTCACGGGCGGTTCAGCCTCGGGAAATTGGTTTGGGAATTGTCTCGGGAATAGACTGTACGATAACCACCTGATGCAGGTCCCCCCCCCCCGCCCCTCCAGAGGAAAACGCTCGGGGCGAGGATTTTTTGAGGGGGTTGGGGCAGTAGAGATGTGTTACTAGAAGATTACACGAGGGAAAGTTTTCATTGTGATTCAGAACCTGTGGACTGTTTATCTTTTTCCAGATTCCTGAGAATTTGGTAATTCTTGCTTCAGTTTGTTGTTGTCTTGTAAATACTATTTAAGTACCTAGTGGATTATACCCTTGCCATTGGGATTTTATCACTGCTTCACAGGAAGAGATTAACATCTGGAATGGAGGCTGTTGCATAATGCACACATTTGAGCCCTGGAGGAACTTCTCCAAAATGGATCTGGGTCTGGTGTGCCATACGCTTTTGTTTCTCAAATTTTGTGCACGTCATAGTTTGTACGGGTCATTTTTGTAAATTATATCTTGTTATCCTGCTATGAAGTATTTAGAAGGGGAAAGACTTTTAGTAATATGGGATGGAGTAGACTCATTTTAGTTTAGTTGTTTTTTTTTTAACCTTTGCTCGTTTAAAGTGGAGGACAGACAGAATGAGATGGTGAGAAACACCTGGGGAAAAGTCCGTTTGTAATGTGACAGCCAGCACAAAGAGAAGTAAACTTGGTAGTATTTTTACAGGAAGCTTGTAATTGTCATAGTATATTTGTTTTAAAATTTATGGTGAGGATTCGTTTGGGGCATTTAGAAACGTCTTACGTGAGTCGTAACATTGACTTTTCGCCTGAGTTACCATAAATTAAGGTGTTTTACCTGTGGATTTTAGATCCTGAAAAGTTTCCCGTTAGTCTCACCTTTGAAATACTGTTCAAATAATTACAAACAATATCAATTCTTTAATAAAGGAATACTATACATCAAGCAAAAGACTTAACTGATTTGGAGAAAATGAAACATTTAATAATTGAATGCTTTTGTGAGTAAAATTCCCCTGTCATTCCTTTTAAAATTAAACTTTTTTTCCTGTTTAGTCGGACTCTCCCACTAATTCTCTACAAACAAGTGGTTGATTACATGTTGTGTACCGTCCCTGGCACAATGTTGTGCTTCCCATCAATGACACGTTCTGTAAGGAGAATTACGGAGGCAGAGGGCCCCTGGACATTTAGAGATAAGTCTGTTAAGTGAAGATTGGCTGCTAGGAATTGCAGTGACTTATCTGTACTATGCTAGGTCCATGGGGAATGGGGTTATTTCTTGCGGCGAATTCAGCTTGGAATTAAACAGAACGTTACCTTGATTCCACTAATATACATGTTAGGTTCTCTGACTTGATACAACTGTATTTTATTGACTTGAGTTTGGAGGTGATTTGATGTGCTTTTTATCTTTATGGTAGCTTGAGATTTTTTTAAATTTAAATTTAAATTTTTGGTACCGGGGATCGAACTTGGGTCCTTGCGCTTGCGAGGCAGGTGGCAGAACCACTGAGCTAAATCCCCAGCCCCAATAGCTTGAGATTTTGAGCATTATTTTACCTATGATTGAGAAGTTAAAAAGGGAAAAAACCTAGTATTTTTCTCCATTAGCTCCCACCTGAATAGCCCTTCAGAACGCTTATTTATTTTTGGTACCGGGGATCGAACTCGGGACCTTTCGCTTTCGAGGCAGGTGCAGGAACCACTGAGCTAAATCCCCGGCCCCAGAACTCTTATTTATGTTATATTCAGTAATTGGTTTTAAAAATGCAAAAACATTTACTGTTTAGGAGTAATTAAAAAAATTGAATATTCAGGCACAGGTTGAACAGTATCTATCAGGGATTCTGTAGAAAGGATTGCCGGTTGGGTAGGAAGTTAAAATCAGCTTTCCTCTTCCCTCCCATTTTTACGATTTTATGATTCTAAGTGGAGAAAAGAAATGGTGTGATTATTAAGGGGATGTTTTCTTCACACATCATAAGCTTCTGCTTTTTTGTTTAATTCTTAATTTGTTATAAATTTGGCATGCCTCATTGGTAGAGGGCTATTTCACAGTTCTTTTGAAGATAAGATTACTCAAAGTTGAATTCATGAAGGGGAAGGTGTGATGATTGAAAGATAAGGAGAAGTTGATAATTTTTACTAAAGACATAAATATTGGATGGAATTTTAGATTTGCATATGAAAACTAAAGGTTTATGAATTCTGTACAGGGAACTATTCATTCAGCCTAAGCTATACTTTGGACTAGAAAGAAAATATCTACATCTAGATATAGATATAAATATCTTGGTTTGTGAGCACAATTTGTTCCAAAAACGTACTTGTAATCCAAAGCACTTGTATATCAAAGCAAATTTCCCCATAAGATATAACGGAAACTCAGATGACTCCTGAAAATATTCACATAATCTTGATTACAATATTGTAATACAATACAAAATAATAATGAAAATTCAAAAGATAAAGAAAAATAAATTAACCAGCACTTACCTTTGAAAACCTTTGTAGCTGGTGTGAGGGAGATGAGAGAGAGGAGGGTTATTGTACCTATTGGCTCAATGGAATCTTTTTCTTTCCATGCAACTTAAACAGTGAACCTGTCCAATGACACTTGCTTTTGCCTCCTTTTGAGGATGTCATGGAAATGTGACTTTGTGTTGTTAAACAAGTTGATCATTCTCACTGCTATAGCCTTATTTGGGTGGTGCTTTTCTACCCAATTTTGCACTGTTTCCCCACATTTTACATATCTCCCTGATCTTATTTAAAGTGAGGGATTCCTCCACCGTTTTCTCCTCTTCTGCAGACAAGATTTCCATAATGTCTTGCTGTTGGGAGATGAAAACCCACAATCCTTTGGGTAGGGCAGAAAGATAGGGAGAGGGAAGAACCATTGGCTCAATTGTGATCTTACGATGTTTGACACACATACTGCATACTTGTATTCAAGGCATTGTTTATCAAGTTAAGATTTATTAGAGATGTTTGGTTGTCTTGCAGAACATTCACAGAACAAATTACTTACAATCCACAATTTTACTGTATATTTACAGTATATTATATGATATAGGATGTGCTGAAGAGGGGTGTATTGAGTCTGTATGGACTTGACAAAATAACAACAGTTGAACTTGGTCTTGAGTAATAGATAAATGAGAGTTTGCCTTGGAGGTGTGGGCCATGAGAAATGTTCACACCAAACACTAAAGCCTGAGTTATGACTGGTATCATTGGATAGCAGTGAGGTCAGTTGAGTTGGCCCAGATACCGTGGTGGGTTGGAGCCTGGTTGTGATTAGATATGTAAAGGTTTTGGTCCATAGTGATGGGAAACCATTTTGGAAGGAAAAGAGTCGACAGGATGAGGGTTTTTAAAAAATCATTTTTAGATCTTTCTATTGCAGTTTAAAGGCTAAATTGGAATGAAGAAACCATTAGAAATCTCTGTGATAATCTGTGCAAGGCTCTGAATTGAGGTAGTGACAGTGGTGACAAAGGGCTAGATGTGGGGACTGGCTGAAGTAAAAGGCAACATCTGAGATGGAAAGAGCTATCTATGCCCTGGTGTCAGATTGGGTTCCAAAGGGCATCAGGACCTCTGTTACTTATGGATCTGAGAACTTAAGCTTTTCTGAGGCTTGCCTTCTTTAGCTGTAAAATGAGTGACAGAACATCCTTTGCAAGCTTATTAGAAATAATATATAAAATTCACTGCCTTCCAGGTGACAAGTGTTTAATAACAGTATAGCCATTTTTTTTTTGTAATGATGATGAATGGTTGTGACAATAAGGGAAAGGAATGATTGAATGTAAGATGATTCCAGCAGGTCTTGGTATGCAGTTTCCACTAGGGATGCTTCACAAACACTGGAAAAGAGGAAGAAGAATGGGCTTGGAGAGGGAGAAAAGTTAACTTCGGACCTGTTTTAGTTTTGAATTACTGAGGGAGAATCCAGGTAGAGATACAAGATACTGTCATATTGAAGTGAGCTGTTAGAAATATGAATGACCTGGAAAGAGTTCTAGGCAGACAGTATAGATTTGGTATATTTGCTGCCAAAGCGAGCACTAGACAATATAGATTTGGAAGCTACCAGTGTATATAGTTGGTTTGTGGAGCCACTAGACAAGATAACATTCCTAAGTAAGAACATCTTAAATATTGTGGATTAAAGTGTTAAAGATTCCTTAATGTCTGCCTACACAAAGGTTTTGAAAATATGAATTGGGAGTAGATCGGTTTAGTGGATTACATATACGAACTGTGCAGAAGAGAGGGTTAATTCTGTGAAAGAAACTTGAGATAGAAATAAGAATTGAGAGTATTATCCTGAGTGTCCAGGAACAAGAGAAACTTTTAGATGTTAGGAGGCGGTCATTTTGGCTCTGTCCTATGATTCAGTCAAGAAGAGTGAAAATGAAAATAATTCAATTTGGGAGTTGGAATGTTATTGGGGGGCCTTAAGAGTAATCAGACTATATTGATAACAACAGGGCTAATTTGGGAATGAATAGGAGTGAATAAAAAGTGAGTTTGATAAAGTATACTGCACAGATAAGGAGTTTGTAGGTTAAAGCCTTTTATACACATGTACCAGTGCTTGTAAGTTTGGAGTGGCCCAAATATACCTCATGACCTTATTCTGAGACTTAAATTAATAGTAATTAATTAATTAAGTTATTTACTTATTTGGTGTTTTTTAGATAGTTTCTCACTATATAGTATTGCCTGGCCTTGAACTCATCATGTAGCACAGCTGGCCTCAACTCATCCTTCTGCCTCAGCATCCTGAGTGTTGGGATTACAGGGTTGTGCCACCATGCCCGCCCCCCCCAGTACTGAGGATTGAACCGAGGGCCTTTGTACTGAGCTACATTGCCAGCCTTTTTATTCTTATTTTGAGACAGGGACTTGTTAAGTTGAATTTACAGTCCTCCAGAGTGCTGGGATTATAGCATCATCATGCCTGTCATGCACCTGTTTTAAAATACAGTAACTGTAGCCAAGAGGATTATTATGCCAAACAGAGATTTTTTTGTTGTTGTTGTTTTTTGAGACAAGGTCTTGCTGTGTAGTTCAGGCTGGCCTTGAACTCACAGTGTAGCCCAGCTGACCTCAAATTTGCAGCAATCCTCCTGCCTCACCCTCCTGAGTGCTGGGATTACAGGCATGTGCCACCATGCCTGGCACACCTGCTGATTTTTAAAACTTACGTAATTCTTTGCAGAATTAGGAAATTGAACCCAGGGCCTTAGCACTGAGCTACCTTTGCAGCCTCCTCTCTCTTTTTCAAATTTTAAGACAGGGTCTAAGTCACTAAGTTACCCTGACTGGGCTTAAACTTGGGATCCTCCTGCTTTCCTTCCAAAGTACTAGAATTACAAACATGTATCATGTTGCTTGCTTCCTACTAATTTTAACAAAGCCTTGCAGAGTTAGGTATACAGTAAAGAAGCCAGGAATAAAGAATTTTAGATAAATTTTCTAATGTTGAAATGGGTGAAATTTTATGTATCCATTTAAGTAATTCTTTTTTTTTTTTTTTTGGTACTGGGGATCGAACTCGGGTCCTTGCACTTTTGACGCAGGCGATGGAACCACTGAGCTAAATCCCCGGCCCAATAATTCTTATTTATTGTTATTTTCTTCTTGAAACTTATAAACTGCTACTTTGAGATTATAAATAGTGCTCATTAATCTAGGCCATGAGATATTACTGTTGTGTGTCCTAGAGGCAGATGTGCGGATTTCTTTGGTGTAATGCAGTATGTATTAAGGTCAAGTAGAAGCTTTGGCTCAAAGCCCATTTCTATTTCTTTCTTTTTTTTAGATCATCTATTAATTTATTGCTAGACTTTTGTGGATATATTTGAGAAGTGAAGAGGCATTCTCTATATCCTGCTTTTATTGTACAAGTAGTAAGATAAGGGTTTATTCTGCATTCCTTGGTGAATTATAAATTATCTATTCATAACCTTTTACTTATTTGCTTATGTTTTAGTTTTTTAAAAACCATTGCATTATTTGTCTGTAAAAGAGTATTAGCTTGGGCCGGGGATTTAGCTCAATGGTTTTGCCGCCTGCCTCGAAAGCGCAAGGTTTTGAGTTCAATCCCTACTACCAAACCAAACCAAACCAAACAGTATTAGCTCTTATGAGTCATGGGTCATATTGATTATAATTTGCTTCTGATTTTTCTTTTTAAAATATTTATTTATTTGAAACAGTCTTGGTGTGTAGTTCAGACTGACCTTGAACTTACTATGGATGGTCCTCCTGCTTCAGTCTCCTGGATGTTGGGATTACAGGCATGCACCACCATTTTTCTGTTTTTAGAGACAGGCTTTTGTTTTGTTTTGTTTTGTTTTTAAAGGATCTTGCTTTGTTGCCCAGGATGGTTTCAAACTCCTTGGCTCAAGTGATCCTTCTGACTCGGCCTTCTCAGTAGCTGAGATGAGAGGCACATGGCACTGTACCTGGCACAAATGCAAACATTTTAATATATATTCAGCAATTAGTTGCAGAGTTTTCCTCAGCTTATATATCCTTTTCCTCTGCATGTTCTATATGTTCAAGTAATGTGCCCATGATTACACAGCTAGTGATCCTGTCAGTTTAGCTCAATAGCACACACCCTTAACCATGTCTTACATGACCTTCATACTTGCAGAACCCTACGTCATCTGACTGGGTTTGCTTTTGAAGCTCTGTGGCAGAGTAAATGCCCGGTACCTTCATGTTTGAATGAACTCTTACCTAGGGGTATTCTCCTGGACATGAGGACTGAATTAAACCTTCAGTTAGAAAGAACACTCGAGAGACTCCACTAGTAAATAGTAAGCAGTGTTGAGCCACCTTGTTCTAAGATGCCATACTTTTAGCCACACTATTGTGATTGAGAGAATGGACATCAGAGTTCAAATGCTAGCTCTGCTGCTTACTAGTTGAGTGCCCTGGAGCAAGTTACTCAGCTGTTTTGTTTCTTAGTCTCCTTATCTGCCAAGTGAAAAAGAATTAAAAGTACACACCTTATCAGTTTACAATAACAACAACAGGAAAAAATTGAGGTGAAGTGTTTATAATAGAACCTGGCACATAGTCCACTCACTATTGGTTTAGTTAGTGTTACTTTAAGAATGGGTTTGCGGGCCGGGGATTGCAGGCCAGTGGTTCCAGCGCCTACCTCGCAAGCACAAGGGTCCCAAGTTCGCTCCCCGGTACCAAAAAAAAAATAGGTGTGCTTCCTACTTGAAATAAGAGGCAACAGGTATGAATCATGTTTACATTTCTGTCCATTGCCTACAAACTACTGGCAGTTCTTACCCATACGTAATTAAATCTTTCTTCTTTCACACAGGTTGAAAAGGGATTGCCAAGCAGTGTTGAGGCCACCGGAGATTTGGATAGTTGTAGCAGTCTGTTGAGTTATTTCATTTTTGCACACTAAACATTTCAGCTTTCAGAATGGAGGTGAGTAGTTGGATGAATCTAGGATATAGAGCCTTGTGTGGAGGGCTAGCAGAGTGTCAGGTAAGTTCTGAGATAGGAAATCAGTTGAGTTGATGTAATGCAGGGCCTGTGTTAGGAAAGCGAGTGATGGTAGCAAGAAAAAGAAGGGAAGAATCAAGAGAAAAATCATAATAAGGTTCAGAAACAGGCTTTCTGTGTACAGGGTTGAAAGCATTGCTGATTGTGTTGCCTGATGCCCAACTTGTTCTCCCTGTTGCAGTAGCAGTTGTAAGAGGTAGGATCATGACTTGGACAGGTTGAGATAATTGTATCTTCTCTCTAAAGCCCCTAAACAATAGCAATAACCTATGGGAAGTGTGCAGTAATCTAGGAACTGAACATGTAAATATGTTCTCCTCTTTTTAGAATATAGTAATCAACAATAAATAGGAAAAATCACAGTGATAGAAATTTGTTTTTCAACTTCATTTTCAATGTTTCTTAACAGCATATTCTTGTTTTCAAATGTGTAATTCCCCAAGAGAAAAAGGGTACAATTATTAAAAGATGGATATCTTCAAGCTCTTATGTAAGAGTTGCCTTGTTTTTATTCAGGTTACCCAGAATTAATGAGCTTACTGTTTACTTCATAAATTAATTTGGACACTTTTTACATTCACTCCATTCTGTGACAGTTTTTTGATGATTTGGCTTGAGGCTACATTAAACTTTCTCAGTCATGTAGAATCTAGTTAGGCCTTTCGGTTTATCTCATGGGCAGAGCATAAAGTACTTGACAAAATTTGATCTGACAGCCTTACACTTACATAACATAGAACAGAAGCTTAAAAACAACAAAAAGAGGGAGAATTGAGAGATTTGTTTTAGCAGCGTGTATCTCTTACCCCTTCCATTGCCTCTCTAAACTGGAGCAAAACCATCATAACAGTAGTAGTTATGTAGCCTTAAATTCACCAGGATTTTGAAAAACTCATTAGAAGAACTTAGACGTGAAGGTCTTTAGGCTTATCCTGTCCAATTGTGTCATGTTACCAGTGGGAGTACCAAAGCCTGAAGAGAAGTACAGCACTTGTCTCCAGTAATAAAGGTAGTTAGAGCAGAGCTGACCTAGGAACCAGGGTCACAGCCAATTCCAGCACTATTTCTGGTATAATATGAGAAGAGACTATGTAAGAATAGTTTATCATTATGTTTGTAATTTTACAAACATAAATTTTATATAACCATGACAAAATCTGGTGATATTTGATTTTACATATTGAATAAAAATAATTACATTGGGAGGTATAGCTCATTGTTCTGGCTCTGCTAGTGGCATGATGTGGTCTGGTCTCTTAAACACCAAAGCTTTGTTGTTTGGTCGATAAAACATTACTGCTAGTTATTTCTGGTTCTTTCACTGTCCTTTAAAATGAATGAAATTTAGCATTGAGGGTGATTGGTAACAAAGTAAGGGATTTAATTAAGGACAGGTGTGTGTGTGAAGGCCTCTGGAGTTAGGGAAATAATTTTTAATTTTTTCATATTAAGAATGATGATAAATATTATTTATTTGTTTGTTTGTTGAGACAGAATCTTGCTATATAGTTCCAGCTGGCCTTGAGCTCACTATGTAGTCTAGGCTGGCTTCGAACTCAACGGCAATCCTCCTGCCTCAGACTTCAAGTGATGGGATCACAGGTGTGTGCTACCATGCCTGGCTATTATAGTTGTTTTTAAACTGTATTTAGAAATCACAGTTTCTTGACTTTAGTGGGAAAGCCTTTATTATTTCCTCATAATATTCAAAATTAACCATAAATCATTACTGAAAGAAGTGAAGCAATTACAGGCTTTCCCACTCTTTGTAGTTTTTTTTCTTCACAGATAATTGTGTGTATGTGATAATTTACATACCTCCACATTCACTCATTGCAACTACTGTATTTAAAAAATAAGGATATAGACAGGCTGAAAATGAGCCAAATAAGTTATACCAAAGAACAGTGAATCAAAAGAAAGCACCACAGCTATACTACCATCAGAAAAATTTAAATACAAAGGGAAAAATGATTATAAAGAATGAAGAAAACCCACAACCTAGGATTGGGGATTTAGCTCAGTGGCACCACGCCTGCCTTACAAGTGCAAGGTCCTGAGTTTGATCTCCAGTACTGGAAAAAAGAAAAAAGAAAAAGAAACCCCACAACCTTATTTAAAAATTGGGATAACTTATAAGGAAGGTATAGTCATCACAAACTTGTAGGTGTCTAATAATGTAGCCTCAATATATAATATATGTATTATATAATATACATTTTATATAATATACATTATGTACATTATAACATATATCAAAGGAAAGTTTATGAAGTTCTGGTTGCTTCAGAATATGAATTAATGTACATATGTTTATCTGAGCCACAATTAATTTGATTCTTCACAGGAACTTTAGTTAAAATAGCTGGTAATGTTAACTCTATAACACCCTATCTAAATAGATATTAAAATATAGAATAAATCTAAAAGTTATTCACAATAGTTAAAACAGTTGGTCTCAAGAAGCAAGGTAAACCAAAAGAAACTCATCTGACCCATCTATGTTTCCAGCCCTGCCTCCTCCTTGCCTACAGCAAAGGCCATTTAGGTCCAGACCTACCCACACTGCTAAGAACAAGCCAGACTCAGGTGAGAAATAGTGACCTCTCTGATCAGCGAACACCTGTTCACTCAGTGCTGTTAATGTCACTACCCATAAAATTTGACATCTTCATTCTTCTGCCTTGTTCTTACCAGTCTCCTTCCAAAGGCTTTAATCTTGGCTCCTGATAATGCTGTTTAATAGCTAGCTACTGGACTTCTGAGCAATCCCTGACCTCTGGTCTGTGTGCCCCACCTGCTAGGTGAGATAGCCCATTTTCTTCAGCTTCAGTATGGCCATATCAGTGAAAGGTTACAGAAATCGACCTTAGAAACAGTAGTTATTGGACAGAAAGAGCTGTCTCTGTCAGCACTGTAGTGGGTCAAATCCCTTGGCTTCTGCCCTGTTGCTGTGGATGTAGATCTAGGGCCAGTGCCTGCCAAGATACCCGAGTGCACCTGCCAATCTTCATGCTTGACAGCCACAGCACTGGAACTCTACACTAGTTCCAGACCATTGGTGACTGATGTATGTGTCACCTTGGCTTCCACCACATCTACTGTCTAATCTATCACTCATTGGAAAGTTATTCAGGTCCTTTAAATTCATAACATTTGCAAAACATTTACCCCATGCCAAACCTGACCGAGATGCCACAGGAGATCACAACATGAATGAAACCTTTTTTGCACTAAGGCCCTAGAATAGGAAACTACTGTAATACCAGAAAGACACATTGGCAATGAACCCATATGTAAATGTCTGCTATGAGAGTGGTTTTTTCTCATCCTTAGACTTTAAGCCATGGTTTAGAAGATGCACATGTTATTTCCTAAACATTATTCTATACATTTCCATCAGTGTCTGGGAAAACACTTTCAATTGCCATTTTATTTAAATAATAATTAGTGGGCTACAGCTTTAGCTCACTGGCAATTTTCAAAGCAAAAAAAAAAAAAAGTATATAAGGCTATGGAGGTGGGCCACTGTGTGTTGGTGCATTTCCAGTGTGTGTGTGTGTATAATTTTTTTTTTTTTGGTACCGGGAATTGAACACAGGACCTTGCTTTTGCGAGGTAGGCGTGGGACCACTGAGCTAAATCCCCAGCCCTCAAAGCAATATTTTTGAATGCTGTGGATGTGCCTGCCTTCTGCTTAAAATGGACCCTGTTCAGTGACAGTCTTGGCAGCTTACAGACTTCTATCTTCCACATCATAGGCTTCTTACCAGGCCCAACATCTATGATGCAAAAGAGACAGAAGTGCTCCCTCTGCTCATAGTTACAGTTATTTGCATCCAGGACTCTTTGGATCTCCCTCAGCATGTCCCTGGAATCCATGGAACTAGTGGTTTTCATTCTGCAAGTGAAGAGGTTTTGCTTTGTTTTCATACTTTTGTTTGGCAGGTACATTGCAACGTCTTACGAGTTTTGAAGTTAATTGACCAAAAAGATTAGCAGAGCCTCAACATTGAACCTGGGACGGTGGTATAGCTTCTTGGGAGAGGCTGGGGGATGGAGGTGGGCCACTGTATGTTGCAGTTCCAATGTCGTGGCTGGTAGTAAAAGTGCTACCATTGGTATTGGCTCTTGGTAAGTGGATGCCAGCCTGGGTAGTTGCACTGCTGATAATTTGGATTAAAGAAACTGGTGTTCTCTGATCACACATGGTGCTGCCGTCCTTCAAATGATGAATCACCAAGCACCTCTCTGCAGTAGGTCTCTTATCGCAAAAGTAAGAGTTTTCTACCATCATTCCAACAAATTCTGTGCTGCTGCTATAGGGCATGGCAGGGCTTTTCTTGGATTGAGGAGTATCTGCTTGGTCAGAATTACTTGGGATTCCAAGTATGGAATTGGCTGTAACAATTTTCTTGCCCTTGACAGCTCTTGCAGATTTCTTAGAGGGAATTTTATCTTCCTTGAGGTCATAATTTCTGGTGCTCTTCGAATACTTCTTTGGATGGGAAACAGCTGAAGGAATAGCTGATCCAGCATAGTCAGTGTATGGTCTGAGTCCTGCTGCAGGACAAGCTTGTCTGTACTTTGTGGCCAGGAGCCCAGCCAGTGCTTTTTCACTGGGGCTGCACCTTAGCAAGTAAAAGGCGCCTGCTAGCACTGGAGTGAGAGTCTAGTTCAGATTTTCTCCCCAGCAAAAAATAGGTAGCTGAGTTTTCATTGTATTTCCTTTCTGAAAGAAGTCTGTGAAATTCTTTTTTTTTTTTTTTGGTACCAGGATGAAACTCAGGACCTTGAGCTTGGGAGGCAGGCGGTGGAACCACTGAGCTAAATCTCTGGTCCTGTTTTCTCAGTTTTGATGACTTCAAACAACTGTACTATATTTGGATGATTTTAAATCTTCATTATTTGTACTTTTCTCTGCAGCTTCTGGAGTCTTAATGCACTCATTGAAGTTTTGTCATTATTCTTATGGCAACCTCAGTGCCTGTGATGACATGTCTAGCTAATTTGTCTTTTGCATAGTTCCCCTTGGGGAGTGTTTTCAACAGTCTGTATTTTCCTATTTGGATTTCTTCTGCACAGGAAGCCATTGATTTTGTAATCACTCCAGAGCACCCTGTTTTGAGGTATCTTCTTGTAGCCTGTCTCCACCTGAGGGATGGAACATATTTGTCCGTTTCCTGATCGTTATCTCCAAAGTCTAGTTGATAGTCTTCTTCAAATGTTTTAAGAGAATAAAGGTAATCTAAATCTATTCTAAGTAGCAAAATAAATATCTAGTAAATGATAAATATAAGCTAATACATACAATAAATAATAAATATAAACTAATAAATATCTCTTGCTATCACTGGCAAGATTAGGATAGGGAAAGTAGGGAAGTGAAAGGGAGGGGAAGGAAGTGAAGTGGAAGGAAGAGAAGCAGAGAAAAGGGAAGGAATGAGAAGACAAGGAAAGAGTTGGAAGTAGAAAGGGGAAAGTAGATCTAAAAATAACCACAAAAGCCTTTTACAGGAAAAGATGCTTGCCCAGTTTCAATTATCCATCTGGGTAAGACTAAGTGTTGAAGACAGATGAGTAGTCTCCTTTATTTCTTGGATTATCATTCTCAAATCTACCATTGTCACTTCCGTCATAAGTGTACTGCAGCATAAAGAGATGGGGGGAGGTGAAGGATTGGGGCAGGGAGTGAATGGTAAAAGAAGAATTAGATGTGTTATATACTTACACCAACTTTCTATGATAAATGTAATCATTTTGTACTGCCAACATGTATCAGTAAAAAAAATATTTTTTAAATGGTTATATAAAATCTCAGAATCAAAACTTTGGGTTCAATTTACACAAATTTCCTGTTAAATTGCTGTGAGAATTTGGATTGAGGATACAATAATGCATTAGCCAGACTCCTTGGGTTGCAAGCAACAGAAAAAACTCAGGCTAGTTTAATTGAAGAAAGGAATTTATTTTCATAGATTGCTCAGTTCAAAATCAAAGAAAGAACTTTGAAAATAAGCACCAGAGTTGTTCATAGCAGCAACTAAGTTCAGCCTCTTTAAAACACCAATGGGTTAAATAACATTGCTTCTTATTTCCCTTACATTACTTTTTAAAGATACTTTGGGATAGACATTTTAATGTGCCTGTTTCTTGGTTGGGAGATGATGAATACTTTGACAACACCAAGAAATACATGGTATAGTGCAGAGAGAATTCCTAAAGTAGGAGAGAGGTGCTATTACCAGAAGAGGAATGGCTGTGGAGGAAGATCCTCAACAGATGTTAGTTACAAAAACAGCAGGGTGGAAGGTGTCCATTAAATGTCCACATACATATATAATATAATGATTTAAAACAGGGCTGATTTTTAAAAAGTAAATTTGTAGCTTTTGTACATCTGTTGCCACAGCCCAGCTTGAACATTTATATCATTCCAGAGTTTCCTTGTGTCTTTTCTAGTTACTTTTATGTTGTAATATGTTTATATGCATATTGATATGTTCTGTATAAATATACAGAGTCTGCCAAAAAGTGTATACACACTTTAGGAAAAGATAAACTTGTATAAATGTTTTAATACTAAATTTATTGGGACATCAAAGTTAGCTTTGGCCTCTACAATTAGAAGAGGGTGCTCAAAGTTCATTAGCTTGCAGACATTTATTATTTTTCTTTTCCTGAAATGTGTATACAGTTTTTTGGTGGCGTCTGTATTTTTATTGAAGGAAGTATTCATTTCCATTTCACTGCCTATCTTTAATACAAATGAATAAGTTTTTTTTTTTGACATACATAGTTAAGTCAGCAGATTGAAATTGTCTTTGGTATAGAAAAGTCTTACTACAATAAAATATGGCAATATTACAGAAGAACTTTTCTGTATGTATAAGGAAGATGGCACTTCATATTCTGAACAGTGTTGTTCCATGTTGCTTGTTAAAGAGGATGGCATTCCCTGTGGATTTGTTGGATAATTGCAGTCATGAGGAATTGGAAAATTCTGCTGAAGACTACATGTCAGATTTAAGATGTGGGGATCCTGAAAACCCAGAGTGTTTTCTTCTTCCCAATACTACGGTAAGGCAGTCTGCTCTGGTTTTTTTCTGATGTTTTAAGTCCGGTTTATACATGAAACCAACATTGTGTTTTAAAAAATAATTTTATCGTGTTAACCATTCAGTTTTGAAATTATATATGAAAAGTTTACCAGTTTTGCTAAGAGTAGTTACCACATTAGAGTTAATTAAATTTTCTTTCAATTTGGGATATGTAAGTTCAGAAATTTCTTTTTAATTAGAAGAATGAGCCAAATACTAAATTACATTTTGTGGCATTAATCTTTATTCCCTTTTTTGAAAATGGTAAGGAATCAAAACTTCTAGTCAGTTGTGATATATTGTGATAGCACGATATTAGACTTGGAATCTTTAGACTTCCACTGTGAACTGAGGTAGGCAAATCCCTTAACCTCTCTAGCCCTCAGATTTTCCTTCTGGAAATGGTGTTGATCTAAAAGATTTGTAAAGTCTTCTCAAGCACCAATATTTTATATCGTCTGACTTATAATATTGTCTCTGAATGAAGAGTACATGTTGGATTAGTGAAGCCTATTAAAGTATTGCATGTATCTCGCTGGAAAAATGAATTTACTTAACTGGCTTCTTTTACTCGAAAATGGAATATGTCCCCTTCATGTACTCCAAATAAAGATGATAAACTATAGTTGATTTTCAGTGACTTTATAGATGATAATATGGCTTTTGTTTTTATTTAGTCATGTAGCCAGAACATAATATATATTGACATATTCATCTCTCCAACATAATAAAATTCTTCCAAAAAAGGAAATCTACCTGATTTTACTATTATTTTAGGGACTAGGGAGACTGTCACCTTGAAATGAAGTTGTAAAATTAAAATTAATGTAGGAAAAATGTAATATTTGGGTAAACACTTTGATATTTTTATTATGTGTTATCTTTTTCAATTTCTTTTAAGACTTTTATTTTGATTAGTACATGTTTCTAGTATGTTTTGTATTTTCTTAACTAATCTTTAATCAATTGTCATTTCAGATTCCTATTAGTCTGTCAAATGTAGGCTTTGTACCTCTTTATGGTGGCGATCAGACCCAGAAAATTCTTGCTCTTTTTGCTCCTGAGGATTCACTCACAGGTCTCTTTTTTGCTTCATTTTTGTAAATTGAGGAGCTTTTCAAACCACTAGAATTTATTAAGAGGGTAACTACAGGAAGGAATTCATTTTTTTAAGACTTTATTTCAAATTATAAGTTTAGAAAGATGTAATTTTTGTTTGTTTTGAGACAGGTCTTGCTATGTAGTTCAGGCTGGCCTTGAACTTGCAGCGATCCTCCTGTCTTGGCCTCCTGAGTGTTGGGATTATAGGTGTGTGGCACCATGCCTGAAAAAAATGTAATTTTTTATTTCTTAAAATCAAATGTTGAATGAATAAAACAAAATAAAAATGGTATAAATGGGGCCACATTGTATTACAAGGTATGGGTATATTAAGAGAAGCAATATAACCTTACTAAATTGTAATACTGTATACATTAACCTTAAGACTTAAGTGTTAATGATTGTTTATTCTGTTTTAGCTGTGGCTCTTTACCTTGCTGATCAGTGGTGGGCTATTGATGATATTGTGAAAACATCTGTTCCAGCTAAAGAGGGACTTAAGCAGGTAACAAACACTTATAATTTAATGTTTCCTATAAACAGTGATAGTCTTTGAAGTTATTGAACTCTTCCGCATTTTAATATGATTGCCTTATATTAAACCCCTGGAGTTTTGGTCTTATGATGAAACCAGCACTCAGGTTGGGTTTCTTCTATTTTATGACTCTGAAAGTATTTGAGGAATTGGGTGAAGAAAACTGAACACCTGTGTGTTAGGTGAGCTTCTGATTTTCTTATTTGGTAGAGGAAATGCTAGTCCACTTGGTGTGGTTGCTAAGCTTCCATGTCACTGGAGAACATAGACCAAGAACCCTTTATTAGTTGGGCCTCCTCTGGCTGAGATACAGTGTTTGAAACAGAAGAGTGACCAGGTTCAGACAGAGCAGAAGCCAACTGACTCTTGTGTTATAAGAGGGACATAGGTTTGCGTATTAGAGCTATAAGAGCTCAAGAGGGGTCTTTACGCTGTGGTTAGAGAGTAGGCAGGACAGGAGGGGAAAAACCTATAGAAACCAAGATGGTAAATATTAGAGTAGGCAGGGCAAAGTAGAAAAGTGTAGACGTCTTTGGTCACAGAAAGACTGTGATGTATAGTACAAGTGGAAGAATAGGACACTTGGCTTGGTTGAGGTGCATCATGCTTTTCTTATGAAGAATACTAAGCATTACTATTGCTTAATAGATGCAGAGATCTATGTTAATTAACCCTTTGAGGAAGAGACCTTGCTGAGGGGGAATAGAGTTAACAGATAAGAATATGTATACTAATATTCTTTCTTTAGGAGGTTTCTAGGATAGGGCAAGTCTATAAAAACTTGTCAGATCTTGAAGGTGTCAGCTATTTCCGTTCACTTCAGTGGGCAAATTGAGCCAATCAGAAAATTTCTAGAAACTTTGAAATCCAGGATAGGAAAGTAGGAATCTTGCAGGTTACCGGAATGTTCTCATTTCTTCCCTTTGAGTTTGGAATTTCAAAAAAAAAAGATCAAACTTAAAGGGAGGAAATGATAGAAGGATAGTAATATACTTAGTAGTATTCCTTCTGGATATTGTATTCATTATTGAATGTGCCTTGAGATTCCAGAGCAATGGATCCATCTCACAGACTGGGAGAATGTCCACCTGGATATCTACCAGCCTGATAAAGAACTTCAAACAAACAATTAAAGGGCAGGAGGGAATTAAAATCTCACATACTGAGCTGCATAGCTATGGCAAGACTTTGAAAAACAACAAAAAAATCCTGCATAAAGCTGTCAAATGGGAGGAATGGATTAGCAATAGAAGGCTGTAACTTGCTCTCAGGAACAGCTGTTAGCTGAAGGAAGCGTTCAGGTCCAGAAGGTAAACATACTGAGGTGTTTAAGTGTGACTGAAATTTGGACATTTGGCTGGAACGTTAGAGGACAGAGAAGGAGAAATCTTGTCTTTTTTTTTTTTTTGGTACCTGGGATCGAACTCAGGACCTTGCATGCTTGTGAGGCAGACGCCAGAACCACTGAGCTAAATCCCTGGCCTGAGAAGGAGAAATCTTAACAACAGTTTGGGTAGCCTCTCCTCCTCACCCTAACAAACTATGAAATCCCCAGATATGGATTACAAAAGGAGAAGTCAGGACCAAAATAAAATTGTTTGAATTCCTACAATAAGTCTCCTTCAGCCTAATTACTTTGTAACAACATTCCCACTTAGAAGTAGGAAAAATCTGTGAAAGGAGACTGTTACTCTAGTCCAATCCTTGCCAATAAGGAAAAATTGATTGGTAAAGTCACAGGAAGGAATAATCATTCTTCCACTAAATAAACACATGACCGTAGCTAGTGACTTTGTTGTTATAAACCTTATTTCCCACTGTCTCATAGTTGTGGTAAAATTAAAAAGAGATAATAAAGGTAATAATCCTGTGCCTAGAGCTCAGTTACATGGAGGGGGAAGTCCTCAGTCACATACTGTGAAACTTTGTCCCTTTTCTGTCCTGATACCTCACCTATCACCATTTTTGGAGGGAACCGTAGACAGCCAGCTTACCAATTTTGCATGTCACAGCACTGAATGGAGGAACTAATGTGTGGAAAGCAGAATGAAGAAACACAGAGCAGGATCTAATATGATGGAATTAAGTAAGAATAAATGTGTCATAATACCTATAAGGTTCCAAGATAGCTGTGCATGTCTCCTATGAGAACGTAATTGAAACAGCAGCACATGTGGAAAAGACTTGGGCTTTATGTAAATAGAAATAAAATGAAAACGTTAATTTTCTCCAGAGACATCGCATTGCCTCAGCAATATTTTCAGCGTTTATTTCTATAATGCCCATGTGCCAGATAAGAAAGATACTAGGGATCTGAAGCCCTTCCACAGGATAAGAGAGGAATGGCAGGAGCCCCCCAGATTTCATTTGGTCAGCCTTTTCCTTCACTTGTTTCATTTTTCAGCTTTGGTATGAAATTCAGAAGGCAATCTTCCATCCTCAAATATTGGTAGAATATCAAAGTATATTCTAGAATATCAGAGTATCAAAGTATAGTCTTTGGGAAATAGGTTTCAGCAGCAGCCTGAGGAAGAATTTCATGTTGGTCAGAGGTGTTCAAGGAAGGAATGGGTTGCCCTGTCCATTGGTGCCAGTCAGCTCTGTCATGGCCCTTATTGTCTGGTATGGGAGATCCCTCGCCAGGGACATTTTTGAGAGTAGTTTGTGAATAAAGTTAATCCTTTCTCTCTCCACTCAACTAATCAGAAAGCGAACTTGTTTTCCCTTCAGGGGATTTGGAAGAAAAAAGACTACGTACAGAACTCTTGTTTTTAGCATGAAAGATGTCTCGAGAAAAACTGATGTCAGAAGGCTGTGGGTATTGGTGGGGTTCCTGTGACCATGTGGCCCTGTGTGCAGAAAGTGAGGCTCTGTTTCTCGTCTGTGGCTGCCCCAAGTCATATGTTTCACTAGACTTTCCCAGTATCGCTGTCCTTGCTCATCTGGTTTAGTAGAGGGGTGTTCAGATGGGTGAGATGGGATATTCCTATAGTTAGAGCAAAGACAGGACTGTTAAATGAACATTTCACTTGAAAAAAGAAAGACAGAGCCTTTCCCAAGGGTATAATTACAGCTTCCTTCAGCAAATGAGGTAATTGTTCTTAAAGTCTCCAGAGTATTGTGCTAGCCCCTTTTTTTTTTTTTAATATGGAAACTGGAAAAGGATGAAGAGTTGAAGCAGGATGCATAGAGGGGGCTATGGTAGGGCTGGTGAGACCTTGGATCTGAGCAGATGAAAGTATGAAGAGGACATGAGCATGAAGGAGGTGCTGGGTGAGCGAGGAACCTGTTTTTGCTTGTGTTAGACTTCAGAGAGGCACTATTCCATGCATAAAATATGTCTATGGAAATGGTGTGAAAGATCGGTTCATCTCTGTGATAATGAAATGTTTTATAATCACTTTGAATGCACCAAGGGTGCTCTGAATGCCCTGTGAGGCATGGGAGCAGGAGCAGAGTGAAGAACCTTCCCTGTTGGCTGCCTATGGTAACTGCTGTGCCTGCTGTTTGCCTCTCTTTGTAGGTGAGCACTCTTGGGGAGAGAGTGGTTCTGTATGTTCTGAATCGCATTATTTATAGAAAACAGGAAATGGAGAGAAATGAGATCCCATTCCTGTGTCATAGCAGTACTGATTATGCTAAAATTCTGTGGAAGAAAGGAGAGGCCATTGGGTTTTATTCAGTTAAGCCTACAGGTGAGTCTTTTCAAGTTACTTAAACTGTATGTTATAGAAATCTCCATTTTAGAACCCCCTGAGTCATTCTCTATTGAATTAAACTGTAGAATGTAAATTGAGGTGATTATACTTAGTATTTCTTGGGAGTACTTTGATGTCCTATGAAAGTGAAGATTGTTAGGGAAGTCCCTTGGAAAAAAAACAACCCAGAAATAAACAGTTGCTATGGAAGATAATTTTTCTACCCAGAGAAAGATACTGGAGTTGAACTTCAAATTTGTCTTCTCCTTGCACTTCCTTTCATTCAAAGGTTGTTTACTTTGATTTCTGGTGCTATCACTATTACTGGCTTCTTCTAAACAGTATGGTCTAAAGGTATTGCTTAGAGTGGTTGATTCAACCCAACATGTTAATGAGCAACCTGACCGATTACTAAGAAAAGCAAAGTGCATTCATATATTTAGAAGATACAAACTCCTTTGAAGTTGTTAATCTCAAGTTTTGGTTTCTTATCTGACGACTCAGCTCTGTCCTATCCATGAGAGATCAACACTGCTTCACACTTGCCCTTTATTCAGCTTTCAAGAGCTGCTAAAGAGCAGGAAGTTCTAGCCTACTTTCTCTGTGTGCACGTACACCCCATGCCTCGTACCACCAAATCACAGTCTGCCTTCTTTTATACCTTGACCAAAAACATGATTTAATTTCTTCTTTTTTCCATTACCAGTCTTCCCAACTTAGCTTTTCAGATCAAAGCCAGTTTAAAGATCATACCAAATTTACTACAGATTTGAAGAACAGTTGGGACTGATACCTTAATTCCATAGTTCGCACACATTTGTGAAGAGACTTAGTACACATAGTCAGTAAAAGGAAGATCGTTTTTTCCCAAGAGTAAAAACCTGTAATGTATAATTTGAAATGTTGTTTGCTCTTTAGTAAATACTTTGGGTCTCCTTTAATATACTGTCTTGTTCTTGTATAAATTTGAAGTAGAACCAGTGATTTATATAAGTTCAGAAAGCTGTTTATAAATAAAAAAGAATGCTTAATGAAAGTTTAGTGCTACCTTGTGGAAAAGGCATCACTTTGGTGTTTTTAAGTGTTCAGTGGCTGGGATTGAGGTGTGATTAATTGCTGTATGCTTTATTTTATACAAGGTAATTCCTGTGAAAATTAGAGGCTTTTTACTTCTCATACTGGCTTTAGGGGAGTTTCCTACCTGAAACCAGCCTATACATTTGAAACATGTTAATTTATACCCTTTGAGGGCTTGCTTTCTGTTCAAGACACACAGTTAAGCAGTATAGTGTTCCCTGTTAGTATTTCTGATCAGTATTTTACTTCTGTGTTTCATGTACATCTCTAGGATCTGGCCTTCAGTTTTGCTAGTTCTAGTAGTTAACTCCATTTTATACCCTAGAGCTGTCAAGTGCTACAATATCTGCCACTTTCCACATCTTCCATACTTTCTCCTATTGCCTTATATCCTCAGTGTTCGATTTAATTCTTTCCTTGTTAAGCTGTTTCTCTCTACCAGGTCACAATGGAATTAGATATGGTCATACTGGCCCTTCAATCAGTAGGTATTTAGTTCAGGGAAGTGCTTTTTCTGCAGAGGAAATTCTAATGTTTTAAAAACATTTTGGTGAGATTATCCAAAACAAATATAAAATTGTGTGACCTCCCCCTCCAATCAAATATATTAGAGAAAAAAGTACATAGTAGCAAAAAGCTAAAATTTTTATTAAGCAGATTGAATGAAAGTGTGGTAGCATTGTTTTTTATTTATGATTTTTTGGTGTGTGAAGTAGTGAATCAGTTGAGGAGGGTGTTTGTACATAAAAATAGTTTCAGTGTACAAAAATGCTTTTATGAGGTCAAGTTCAGTTACAGTACAGTGAAATTCAAGAAACTATATAAATTCTTTTTTGCTTGAAATAGAGTGCTGAGAAATACAGTTTGTGTTTTGGATTAGGTAGTTTTGCTAAAAGATATTTGTGGAGTTTTTGTTTTTTCTGTTTCTAGTTTAATGTAATGAGTACATTAATTTGTGACTTTAACATTTTCCTTGTATGTATTTATTTTTGTGATTCTGGAGATGAAACCCAAGGCCTCCCATGTGCTAATAATATAATAAGCACATGCTCCTACTAGTCATTCTCACAGCCCCCTGTGTGATCTTTTATGTATTCAAAAAACTCCAGACGCACCAAACTAATCTTTCAAATAAAGTTTTTGTTTTGTTTTGTTTGGTACTGGGGATCAAACTCAGGACCTTGTGCTTGCAAGGCAGGTGCGATGCCACTGAGCTAAATCCCTGACCCAAATAATGTTTGTTTTTGTAGTTGAAAGAGAGTTTTAGGAAATAATTCCTCAAGGTTCCTGAATTTTTCTTTATCAGTAGAATAAATCCCCCCTTGATAGTCAGTTGTGTACTTTATGCCCTGATTCCTTTATCAATTTTTTGAGGAAGAACTTAAGAGTGAAGGCATTGTCATGCTTCTTATGTCATGGGTAACTCTTGGGACCTACTGTTTGTATCTTGGAATATCTTCAGTTATTAGGGTTGGTTCAGATCCGTATTTTAGGTCTAGGAAGGAGTAGGAAGCAAAGAGAAGCAAAATGATTTATAACCAAAACAAGTGCCGCACTCCCGTCAGTCTAGGAAAGTGAAAATATTCATAAGAAATTTGAAAATAGGCTTGATTTATTCTCTACTTTCTCACACACCCCAAGACTGCCAACAAATTTGAGGTTGAAATTATTAATGAAATAATTGGAACAATTTATTCTTATTTAACCAATTCATTTTATAGTTTGAAAGCTCTAATACTTTTTAGTGTGCTATACAACTAAGTTGTCTTTTAAATGTATCACCTTTTAAATAAATAAAGATGTAATACGTAGAAGACTTGATTAGTATCCAGGAGATTTCGGGCTTCATTGGAGTGTTGCTGTTAACTTGTAAGTGAGTCTAACAATTTTTTTGTTTTTTTATTTTTTATGTTTCTTCTTCAGTGTGAGGGAGTTGGGCTTGACCAAGGGATCACTGAGACTTCCTGCTCTGAAGTTTTCTGAATCTGCAGTTAGTTGTTGGTGTGTCCACTGGCAGAAATCTGTGGTCTTGGAATTGGCTTTAAATGGGAAGGATGAATTAAAGAGAAACATAAATTAGACTTCAAAGTTGAAAGACTATGATAGTAGACAAAGTTATTTCTTGGAGTCCTGTGAAGAGGAGGCTCAATGAGAGTAAACACAAAGGTGTAGAATATTTTAGCATCAAAGCCCCAATGCTTTCCATGAGAAATTATTCAAGGTATTATAGGAATGATTTTTTGCTCACTAGGCAAAATTTTAAAAGCAGTATTAAAGCTTTTCAACTTGGAGATTAATATTCAGGATCACATTTTTATGGTTTATTTTATTCTTTATATATTATTTTATTCTCAATAGATAAAACTCATTTTCAGGAGTTAGAATTTCAAATTTGAGCATCCTCTTGCCGTTACTTTTTTTTGTTTTTTTTTTGCCATTACTTTCTATATGTAGGGTATACAAAGTCTATATACCCTGGATTTTAAAAAGAAATAAGATAGGTATATAGTTTGTAGTCGTGATGCTAGGTGTCTGGTCTGGATCAAAGTGAGATATATTCAGTCTTTTTTGAGTAGCATTTATATGGCTAGGCTTATTTAATTATATTTCCTAGTAATGAGCAGTTTTCATGCTCTTCCCAGAGTCTTCCATGTCCATTAGCATTTCCTCACCACCCACGTGAGTAGTGTTTCTTTTCCTGTGGCTGTCACCAGCCACATGAGTAATGTTTCTTTTTCTGTGGCTGTCCTTATCACTTAGTAGGATGGACACATCTTCACAGCATTTCTAGTCATCAGTCCCCTCTGGTTGTCAAGTTTGGTCTTCATTTACTTGTCAATTTTTGAGCTTATAACAAAGATCATGAATAGTAATAAAAGATACTGATTGAGCGTACTATGCTAGACACCAGGGAATTACAGTTTATTTATCTCATTTCCTATATTATAATTAGTTGTATAATCATCTGTAATCTGAAAGTCAAGTTACACTGTACTCATCCCCATCATGATGGACTTCTTTTTCTCTTCTCATGTTATTCTGTGAGAAAGATTCTTACTATGGTAAAAGGAATTATTTAAGTTTTCTGATATTATCCTTTTACCTTTCCTAATGATTCAGTAGATTAATGAAGTTGGTATGGCTTTTACTTCTGATAGTAGAGTACTTAGAGTGCTACCTCAAGAGGTAACCCACTAAGTGATCTTTGTTTCATTTTTTATATTTCTTTTTTTTTTTGGTATGGGGGGATCAAACTCAGGACCTTGCGCTTGCGAGGCAGGTGGTGGCACCACTGAGCTAAATCCCCGGCCCTCATTTTTTATATTTCTTAAGGTTGACAGAGTCTGATAATTCTAAAGGGTCCAATTCCTTTTTTGGTATATCAATATCACATTTTTAATTTTTATTTTAAATTTTATTTATATAGATAGTTTATATATTTTTGTTTGTTTGTTTGGGTTTTTAAATTTTTTTATTTTTTGAAGTACTGGAGATTGAACCCAAGGCTCCTGTATTGAGCTGCATCCCCTAGCTTTTTTATTTTTTATTTTGAGACAGGGCCTTCCTGTGACACTTAAGTTTCCTGGGTTGGGCTAGAACTTGGAATTCTCTTGCCTGCATCAGTCTCCCAGTGTGCTGGGATTACAGGCATGCGCCAGCATGCCTGACTACAGCAGTCAATTTCAATATGTAGTTTCCTCAATGTTGCAAAAAGATTGTGGTAGTATTGTTGCAAGGTCTTTCTGTGATTGGTTCCTTTAGACTGATTGAATTATTTTATGCTCTAGAAGCTACAGTGCCATTATCTCACCTGGTTGTGAACCTTTTGTTGAAGGCACATGTCTGAAAGCAGGTGTTTACTATCCATGTTAAAGCTAACACTATTGACTTCCTGTATCTTAAAGTAGGTAATGATAGAG